TCGGAATTTTACGACACCAGGCTGTGGGTGTCATACTGCTTCGACCAAAGGGTCGCTATAATCAACGAAAACGAAAAGTTCCGCACAGCTGCTTTAACCCATTTTATCAAAGAGGTACCAAAGTTAAAATATTATAAACATTTATAGATGTACTCCCATTTCACTGTATTGAAAGCCTTTTCAAAATCAGCCACAAAGATTAGACCAGTTTTTTTGTCTTTTTCATACAGTTCAATAATTTCTTAGAGATGTCTGATGCTATCACCAACAGATCTACCCTCAATAAATCCATTCTGATCTTTATCCACAATATCATGAATGCCTTTTTTGATTCTAGAGGCAATACATTTAGATTGTATTCATTATTATTAGTTAGAGGTCTCCAGTTTTTTTAATCTAATTGGATCTTTGTATCGACCATTTGCCTCTCGCTTTAAAAAGAGAGATCAAACACTCCTTGAGTTGAGTTGAGTTCCGCTTACTTTACCAATCTGAAATGAATAATTGAAACATGCTAGAATGGGATCTTTTATATAAGCAAAACATGTCTTATAGAATTCAGTCGGAATCCCATCTAGACCTGGTGATTTATCGGATTTAAAGGAATTAATTGCATTGAATTGATTGCTCCTCTAGCCCTTCTCCATTCATCTAACTTTAGAATTATTTATAATGCAACTGGCCTTTTTATGTTAAAGTCTCATGACAACATTACTTAACATAAAAAAAAAAAAAAAAAATTATGGCAAAGCCTAGGAGCAAACCCTGGGATTTATATTCAATACCTTACTACTATTTTAATTCTGATTTCAGGATGTAGATCATTTTTGTATTAAGATCTTTGTTTACTGATTATGTGACATGAGTGCACATAACTGGCTCCTCTTGTCCTGCTCATGAGTCTTGTACCAGAGCATATTATAGTGTTGGTATGGAGCATACATGATTCTTACATAGCAGCATGAGCAACTGAAATGATAGAGAGTAGCTTATGAAAGAGTCTCTTAGAGAGGTTCCTTGTAGATCCAGTGTCAAGTGTTCCATTCAGAGTCTGCTGTCTATTTCCAATATAACTAGCATTGGACAGCTGTGTGACTGATTTGGGTTAACTGGCCATCATAAATTATTTATCAGATTTCTTCCTTTTCTTTAGCCCCCCTCCAGCACACATTCACATCTAGTGTTTTGTCCTTTCAATGCGACTACCAGGACATATCTCTCTATTGAAGCTTGGCAAAAAAAAGGGAAACAAATAGATTGTAACTTTGATATCCATTCAATCTGGCAAACCTAGACTGCTAATGCCTAATATAAGCTTCAACTAAACTTCAGGCTGCATTTTGCATTTTTGCAGACTGCATAGTCACATACTGCTTAAGAACCCTGGCAAATCCTCTGCAGCCCAAAAACATTTTCCCCATAGGCCGCTATCATGAAAGAGATGTCTGTAAAACTTTTGATAGGACACCTCCAGCTGCAAACAAGGTCAGTTATGACTCTTTCTATTATGAAATTTTGATACATGGAGATTTTACATTTCTAAAATGTTCCTCAAGCTGAGAAAAGTGTTTCTAAAATCTGTGACATCATCATAGTGTAAAGTCTATGAGCTGAGCGGGAACTCAGGGCCAGCAGGAGAAACACTACTGCGCATATTCAGCAGGCCGCATACTGCGAAAGTAAACAGTGACAAACACAGGTCATAACAGCTATCACAAATAATTATTAATTCTGTGAGAAACCTGAAAATAGGAAAAAATTAATCTCATCTGTTGTCTGGTTAGAGTGCTCTCTGTCTTCTCTCTATTTAATCACCTCACATACATTTTAAGAGACACAATCTCACAGTTAAACTTTTATTTTCTATCACAACAATAATTTAAGCTTTTCAACTTTGTTTGAACAAGGACCCTCAGTATTTGATTGAAGAAGCTTGTTTAAAATAAGTTGTACCTGATTAGGTTGGCTACAGCTGTTTTTTTCAGTGTGTCAGATACATATTTAATCAACATTTAAGTGAATATCGGATAGGACTCTGTATGGCAGATACCTGGTATTAAAGGACTCAATCGGGGCCTAAAGAACCAGACATCCCTAATGCCAGGTTTAGATTACACGACATGTTTATTCACCAATCACTACCTCAGATTGGTGACAATGGAAACATAAAATCTTGCTGGGACTTGGTCGATAGACTTGACAGACTATAAGTTGGTCCTCCACCAATCATCATCTATCATAATGTGCATGATGTCATCACATCGGATTATTCGTGCCCAAATTTTGTTATGATTACTATTATTTATTTATTTTTAGTTACTATGGCTGTTCATGCCCCAGCAAAACTATTTATGTTATGTTGGGAATCAACATATATTTACCTCACACGGCGGCACCAAAAATGCTGGGGTCAACATGTTAGGCTTCACACGGAGGCATCAAATATGTTGGGATTTAACTGGCTATCGGAAATAATTAATAATTATTATTAATAAGTAATAATTATGTTAAATAATGTGACTTAATTAACATTAAATCACCTCGTGGGGCACCATTCCCGTAAAGGGAAAAATGATAGCCAGTTAAAGATATCAGTCTCATAAAATACGCTAAACTATTAATTTGGAGTTTGATTAATAATTAAATTAATGACAACAATCAAAATTAACAGTAACGCCTGAAGGATTTCGGAGTTCTTGACGCAGCAGAGGTTGACTATTCATTCATTCTTGTGCAGCATTAAACAGACAGCAGGTATGATTCCAAAGAATTATATTTATTCACAAATTAGCAAAGCAAACCAAAACACACAAATTCTAACTAACTATATACAAGCTTGGTGTGTATATGTGTGTGTGTGTGTGTGTGTGAGAGAGAGAGAGAAAGAAGAGAAAGACAAAGGCGGGTGTGGTGATCAAGGAGCCGTTTGGCTTACAAAGCAAAATGGCTGACAACAGAGAACTACCACAATGGCCGAATCAAGGCTGCTTCAGTTTCGGGGGAGGTGTTTGTCTGACTGTATGGTCAGGACAAAGACAAAGGAAAAGAAGCGGGAACTTTGAAATGCCTGTTTGGGTGTAGCTCTGTTGAAAGCCTGTTTGTTAATGAGTCTATGTCAATGTTACGTGTGTTGCAAATGGTCTGGATTAGTGCAGAGATTGTTTAGTTGTGTGCAAGAATCTGTTTGTGAACAGTATTAGCAAACTAAACACTTAGCTTTGGCGAAGCCAACTAATCAATGACCTAACTGCCAACAATCACAATAACTCAGTGAACAGCATCAAATCACATACAACAAGTCAAACAGTCTTGCTTAGCCTGTAAAGCTGTGATAAGCTATGCCCAGTTGTTACGTTACCGATCCTTGAGTAGATGGGAGAAAGCCGGAAAAGGAAGGCTGGGAGGGTGTGGTTTCAGCTGCAGTCTTTGTTGGGTCCTTTGTTCCAAAGGTTCTGATCTGAGGAAGCTGGTCACTCGGGGTCCTTGCAGAGTTAGACGCTGGGTGCTAACTCACTTAGTTCCTTGTTGCTGGAAAGCCAGTTGCAAACCTTGTGTTTGCAACTCTACCTTTCTGTTTCAGGTCAGAGAGTCTGTGATCAATTGCCCTCCCTTTAGTGGTTTGGGCCTCTGGAGCAGGGGTTTGGGCCTCTGGGCTGTTCCAAGCCCAGCCGGAGAGCGGTGTGCAGCTGCTTCAGCAGCTGGAGCAAGAAGAGAAAGTTCTGTGGAAGGGAGCAGATCTTGTACAGATGTCTGTGACATCACAGAGTCACATGTCACTGTAAAAGGTCTTGTCCAATCAAGTTTTGGGACTTGAGTCTTACTGAGGTGTGAGGTGAGATCTCCTGTGGAGATGGGTGTTGCATAGCCCTCTTTGTTTGAAGACAAAGAGCATGCAGAGGAAAAAGCCTTTAAATTGTCCCTTGATGATTTTACCAAATAATAAATCATTTGTGGTCCTGTGAATCCCAACAGTTATAATGTAAAAAAGTGCCACCAGATGGGAGGAGCTACATTTGAAGTATGCTATGAAAATTGTCACTCCATCACAAGTTCCTGCAAATGTTTCACTATAAAAGCCTTTTTTATAACTTGAAGGAATTCGGTCCACTGAAATGGAATAGAGGGCTTTAATTTCTAAATGGATATGTTGGACATGTTGAGTTTGAAATAATGTGTGTAATGCATTAAATCTAATGGGGCAAACAGGAGTGGATTACAGATAAAAATTGAAAAATACAGAGGTAATGAGAGATAAAAGCCTGTGTCTATAAATAAAGTCTTATGTCTAATATAGTATTTTTCAAATGAAGCTGGTACCCTCTGCAGTTGTGGTAAATAAAAGCCCCACCATTATTTGTGAATTTTATTCCTTTATATCTTTCTTCATTATGAAGAAAAAAACACTGTTTGCAAGCTTGATGCAATGGCAGTACTGACTGACTGGGTTGCTGAAGTGTCTCTGCTGTTTCATGCCAGCATTTTTCATTTTTCACTCTGTTGTGGTAACGTCCCAAGAGGAAATATCTAAAAGGCTGTGATGCTGTAGCAGATCACTCTGTGTTCCTATTGGTCAAAGTGATGGCTGTAATGGGAGTAGTTGTGGATGACAAAAATAACTCAAATATGCTAGACTTTCTCATAAAAGTAGTGAGGGGTCTCAGACATGGCATTGGTTGTCGTCTTCTTTGATACATTACACAGGATAAAGCAAATGATTAATGCACACAACACCAACTGTCACTTATGATCGGAGTGGATCCTGTAGGATGGCTGCGTTGGGCTATATTCAGGCTGATATTGTGTTCTCTGAACCCAGCATAACAGCAGCACATTATTTTAGTCTGCCCTCTATTGTTGTGTCTTAAATAGTGCACAACTGTTGTCTGTACCAGTTTCTAGTGGCGAGAAAGAAACATCTCTGCATTTGTCACAAATACTTTAAAATCTCACACAAAAATGTGGTAACATATTTTTGTGTTGTTAATGTTTCATTGTTTTAGGATTTGGTTGTGGAGGAAGTACCAGTCTTTGTGGTGAATCTAAGTGCCACTGTCAGAGAAGAAAAAACAGAAGTTGCAAATTCATCTGCAACCATATCAGCTATTGTTGACATCATACAAAACATTGCAACTGTTTCCACTGAGGAAGTCACTCGGCCTGTCATAGAGGTTGGTTAAACCCTCCCATCTGTGGCCTCTTGGTAAAGGTTATGGGTGTAACGTCAACAAATGTACTTTTTGACTTTATGATAAGGTTGTTTCATTACAATGAAATGTCTCTTTATCTGCAGAATATACTTGAAACAGTTGATGTCATCATTGGTGATGATTCAAGAGAATCCTGGGCAGTTCTGAATGCAAATCAAACTCGCAATGCAAGCTCAGAATTATTGGCATCACTGGAGTCCCTCTCTAATGGGTTGGTCGGTGAGTTTGACTTTGCAACTGAACGGATCCTGCTCAACAGAACCACGTTTAATAACTCCTTCAGGGCCGATCTGAACAACAGCATCCTCATAGACATTCCAGATACCAACTTGTTCAACGTCTCTATCACTACCATCACCTTCTCCACCCTTTACAATGTTATGCCACCACGAAACTCCAGCTTTGAAGTCAGCCTCTTCAACACCACCAGTAACGACACTGTCACTGCTAATGCCATCAATGCTGCTGTGGTGCTGGTCCAAATAAATGAAACAATTAGGAATGTTACGTTGAGCTACGACAAGCTAAACAGTTCCCTTTCACTATACCCACAGTGCGTCTTCTGGAACTTTACACTCTTTGATAAACTGGGTGCTTGGGATGATAAGGGTTGTACGTTTGTTTCCGACATAAACAACACCATAACCTGCAGCTGTAACCATCTCACCTCCTTCTCAATTCTGATGGCAACAGACATCCCTCAAGACCTGATACTAGCCTTGGATATAATCACTTATGTTGGAGTTGGGATATCTCTGGCAAGCTTAGTTGTATGTCTCATTATTGAAGGATATGTTTGGAAAGCCATTACCAGAAATAGCACTGCCTTCATGCGTCATGTTTCCATCATTAACACTGCCCTGTCCCTGTTGATTGCTGACATCTGTTTCATCATCGCTGCCTCAATTGCTAAGAACCCCCTTGAAAACCCAAGGGAGGACTATACAGTTTCAGTTGGACCATGCAGCACGGCAACATTTTTTATGCACTTTTTCTTCCTTGCGCTTTTCTTTTGGATGCTTGTGTCAGGCCTTCTGCTCTTTTACCGGACGGTCATGGTTTTCTCCCACATGTCCAAATCAACCATGTTGGCCATTGGCTTCACTTTAGGCTACGGGTGCCCTCTGATGATAGCTGTTATTACTGTTGCTGTCACGGCACCAAACAATGAATACATCAGGAGAGACCAGGCTTGTTGGCTCAACTGGTTCGAGTCCATGGCCCTGCTGGCCATGGTGATACCTGCCTTGACTATAGTTTTCATCAACATTTTAATTGTAATTGTGGTCTTGTTCAAAATGCTGAGAAGGGGTGTTGGAGATGCTGCTCAAACAGATGAAAAGCATACAATGGTGGTCATTATAAGGTGTGTGGTCATTTTGACTCCTTTATTTGGACTGACCTGGTCTTTGGGAGTGGGAACCATGATATCACCAACAGATAGAGGAATCCATATTGCCTTTGCATTCTTCAATTCACTACAGGTATTTGCATCCATTGAAAGGTTAATGCTAACATGACAGTATTTATGTATACAAATATTTTCTGTTTGTCGTTCAAATTATAAAGAAATGTGCACAATGTCATTCTTTTCACAGGGTTTCTTTATTTTAGTATTTGGGACACTGTTTGACTCAAAGGTAAGATGACTTCAAAGAAATAGTTTGACATTTTGGGAGACACACTTCTTTGCTTTGAGGAGAGCTAGATGAGAAACCAAATACAATACTGTGTGGTGGTTGGGGAAGTATTTAAATCCTTTATTTAATACCACAATGTAAAAACACTCCATTGCAACTTAATATCTTGAATATGAAAATCTTTTCAAATGAAAGTACTACAAAAGTATTACCATCAAAATGTACTTAAAGTATGAAAAAAAGTATTGCCTATGGTCAATGTTTTATTATCATATATTATATGGTTCCATTTCATGATGCAATAATGTTTTAGCAGGTTTTTTACTGTTGAAGTTGGCTGATGTGGAGGACATTTTTCTGCTTTTTATCCTATAGCAATCCATTGTATTTTCACAGGTGTTGTATGTAATCTGCAAAGTAAAGAGTAACTATCAAATATAGTCATAAAGAAAAAAAGTAAAGTACAATATTTCCCTCACTAATGAAGTGAAGTCAAAGTATTATGCAGCACAAAATGTAAATACTCAAGTCAAATACAAATACCTCTAAATTGCAGTGTGTAAGATTTAGGGGGATTTAGTGGCATTTAGTGGTGAGGATCGAAGGCTGTAACCAGCTTGAACTTTCCCTGTGTAGAATTCCTTCAGTGTTTATTGTTTAGGAGGTTTTTACTGGAAGCTGAATTCTGCAAGGTCTATTCCTCTTCCAACATATGGACCAGGGGTGTCATTTATAAAACAGTGCATAGGATCCATACTACAAATGTTCATTCAGACAAAAGCCAAAAATTGTGTGTGCCATCAAATTTTTTACAGTTTTTGCAATCAGCCTTCCCCCTCACCATTTGGCGTATGCCTCTTTCAGGTCTTGTTTTGTGCGTACACAATGTTTATAAATGAGACCCTAGGTGATTTAAACCATGTTAAATAAATAAATACATTTTAATAAATTAATGTATCTTTTTACACTCTTGTCACGAAGAGGTTGCTAACTATGGTGTCCCTATCTATAGTCAGTGTTTGGTTTATCTGTTCTGTTCTATAAAAACATGACGGTGCAAAATGGTGATCTCCGTGGATGAGGACCCCCTCCCTTTGTAGATATAAATGGCTCATTGTAAGGTAACAAAAACACAACAATTTTTACTTTAGGTTAATTACAAATGAAAGAAAATATACATATTATGTTATATTCAATTCCTGCCAATATATCCCACTAAATACTACACACTGGACAGTACAGTTCCTAAGAAAATATACTGAGGTACTTTCCCCCACTGCCACACAGATTTTTGAGCACTTAGTGTGGAGCTAGAGACAGGAGGCAATTTGTTTTGCCTAGCTAGACTGGGAGGAAGTAGCCTGGCTCTGTCTAAACATTACAAAGAATATCTGCCTACTATCACCTCTAAAACTCATTAAATAACAATAATTCCCCCAAATGTCAAACTATTATTTTAGAGTATTGATGTTGCAGGGCAGTTGGACACTATTGATTTTGATACTGACATGAATTTAATTGTGCCTGTAGATCCGTTCTATCCTCTCAAGAAAGTTACCTACATCAAGCACAGGCTCTGGCTCTAACCCAGCAAGAGTAAGTTCATAT